GCCCTGGCTTGGGGACAGCTTGCTTTGTCTGAGCTGGAATGTGCTCCTGCTGCTGAAGTGCTTTTGTATGTTTGAGATGCATTCCTGATGCGTGGGGTTAAATAGTGGGAAATCCGGCCGGTGCGCGTAACGAGCACCGTGTTCCCGAGCGCGGAGCGGCCCGCGTGGCCCTGTCCCCTCTGGCCCCCATGTCCCCCCGCGGCCCCAGCCCCTGCGGCTCCGCAGACCGGGCTGCAGGTGGAGGGGAGGCTCCCGGCTCTGCCGCCCGCTCGCCCTGACCTGGGAAGGGCCCCGTGCGGTGGTGACCAAAGAGGAAGGGCTGCAGCGGGGTTCGTGCTGGTGGCAGATGCTGTGAGCAGCAAAGTGGGGCAGTGCTGTGCTTGGAGCTGTTTACTGGGGAGCATCCCGTGGCTGGGAAAAGGGATCAAGCTGCGCTGTGCTCTGGCCTTGCCCCAAAAGCAAGGATGAGTCTCCTGGTCCCTGCTGGGTACAAGGGAGTACCTGGTGTTGTTGGGTCTCCCTGGGGAATCAGGGCATCTCTCTAGTGGCTGGGTACAGTCTTTGCACGGAAGTTCAGACTACTCTGGTCTGCCTTGGGGATGAGGATCACTTTTTTTATCTCTGCCTCTATAGCCAGATTTCTGGTGGAGTGACACTTTTTGATTCTGGCCCTCCTGGCAGTGTGCATTGCTTGGATCATGTCACCGTGACATAGGGGAAGGTCTGGCTGGAGTTATCTGCTCTGCTGGTGAAAGCTCCTGCTGATAGAGGCATTTGACCCTCCTCAAGTGGACCCAGTCCTGCCATGTAGCCCTCCGATTTCCTGCTCGAGTTGCCCAAATGGGGGGTTCTGTGACCACCCCTGCGAAGAGCTGGCTCCGAGCACAGTGACCTAGAGGGACTGGAGTGGATCTGCTCCCCAGGGCTTCGCTTTGCAGTTTCTGCTTCTAGCTTTGCAGTGTCTTTCCTGCGGCTCACCTTTCCCAGAGGCAGTCCCAGCAGTTGCTGTCACAGCCTTCAGGGATCAGCTATTTCCTCCCTCGCAGATGTAGGAGGGACCCCAGTTCTGTTCCTGCTTCTCCTACTTGTAGACTGGAAAGGGACACGCAGGGGCTGCTGCCTTGGCTGTGGATTGTGTGTCAGTCTGGGCCTCCTCGGCAGGGCGTCCTCCACAGGTCAAGCCACGTTTAGCCAGGGAAATGGGAATGAAGCACAAAGCCCAAATATTTTTAAAATCACTGTTTTTTATGAGCATACTGAGGAGCTACCCAAGCTGCGACCTTTCCCATCTGACTCCTCGTGTCTGGGTGGTTGAATCCTGTGTGGTTTCCTCTGGTCAAGGACAAGCACCAGGTTCTGCTATGGCTGCTCTTGGCCTTCGGCATCAACCCGTTCCTCGGTGGAATGGGCCATGTTCTTGCCCCTGAATCACCAGCAGGATTGCAATTATTCTCGTGCTAAATGGTGTGATCCTGCCCTTAACTAAACACTGAAGGCAGAGGGATTGAACCGGGGGGGTCAGTGGTCTCCTAAAGCTCATGAGATATAAGGGGGCCTGTCCTGGTGGCTGGGACTGCTGGATCAAAAGGGTGAGCAGAACCCTCAGCCTGTCCCTTTGGCGTGGGCTGTCAGAGCAGTGCTGTGCCCGGTGGCTCTGCGCGGTCCCTGCAGCAGGGCTGCCCATGGCCATCGCCGCCGTCTGGGGCCTTGGCTGTTGAGACACCTCCAAGTCGTGTCGACACGAGAGCGTCTGAGGAAACGGGGAGACGTCGGGAGCTGCTGCCTGGGTGCCAGTGCGGCAGCAAGACGGTTTGGCGCGGGTCTTGAGTGAAGGCACGTCGCAGCCCGGACCCGGCACTC